CCCAAGCCAGTTCTTAACCATCGCGCCACTCGGCCGGCCCTGGACAAAATAGACTTTAAATTGAAGACTATAATAAAAGACAAAGAAGGGCACTACATAATAATAAAGGGATAGATCCAACAAGAGGACATAACCCTAGTAAACATCTATGCCCCTAACATAAGAGCACCAAAATATATAAAACAGATACTGACAGACATAAAGACAGAGATCAACAGTAACAATATCACAGTAGGGACTTCACCACACCACTGACAACAAGGGACAGATCCTCCAGACAGAAAATAAATATGGAAACAGCGGCCTTAAATGACACATTAGATCAGTTGGATTTAATCGGTATTTTCAGAGCATTTCACCCCAAAGCTACTAGAATATAGCTTCTTCTCAAGCACACATGGAACATTTTCCAAGATAGACATGTTAGGCCACAAAACAAATCTCAATAAATTTAAGAAAACTAAAACCACAGCAAGTGTCTTCTCCGACCACAGTGCTATGAAATTAGAAATCAATTACAAGAAAAAAACTGCAAAACACACAACTACATGGAGGATGAATAACTTGTTACTAAATAGCGATGGATCAAAAATGAGATCAAGGAAGAAATCAAAAGGTACCTTGAGGCAAACGAAAATGAAAACACAACGACCCAAAATCTCTGGGATGCAGCAAAAGCAGTCCTAAGAGGGGAAGTTCATAGCAGTGCAGCCCTACCCCAAGAAAGAAGAAAAATCTCAAATCAACAGGTTATACTTACACCTCAGGGAACTAGAAAAAGAACAGCAAAATAAGCCCAAAGGGAGTACAACGAAGGAGATAGTAAAGACCAGAGCAGAAATAAATGAAATAGGGACCAGAAAAACAATACAAAAGATCAAAGAAACCAAGAGCTGGTTTTTTAAGATAAACAAAATTGAGAAACTCATCCAAAAAAAAAAGGAGAGAGGACTCAATAAAATCAGGATGAAAGAGAAGTGACAACGGACACCACAGAAATACAAATAATTTTAAGAAATTACTATGAGCAACAAGATGCCAACAAATTTGAGAATCTGGAAGAAATTGACAATTTTCTAGAAGCATACAACCTACCAAGGCTAACTCAAGAAGAAACAGAAAATCTGAATAGACTGATTAATACCAAGGAAATTGAATCAGTAAGCTCCCAACAAACAAAAGCCCTGGACTAGATGGCATCACAAGTGAATTTTACCAAATATTCAAAAAAGAATTATCACCCATTCCAATCAAACTATTCCAAAAAATCCAGGAGGAGGGAAGGCCCTCAAACTCTTTTTATGAGGCCACTATCACCCTGATCCCAAAAATCAGACAAAGACATTAATAAAATAGAAAACTACAAGTTGATATCCCTAATAAACATAGATGCAAAAATCCTCAACAAAATATTAGGAAACAGAATTGAGCAATACGTTAAGAAGATCATACATCATGACCAAGTGGGGTTCATCCCTGGCATGCAAGGTTGGTTCAATATCTGCAAATCAATTAATGTGATACACATTAACAAAATTAAAAATAGAAATCATATGGTCATATCAGTAGATGCAGAAAAAGCATTTGACAAAATCCAGTAGCCATTTATGATAAAAACTCTTAGGCCATATATGATAAACCCACAGCTAACATCATACTCAATGGGGAAAAGCTAAAACCATTCCCCTTAAGATCAAGAACAAGACAAGATTGTCCACTTTCTCCATTTGTATTCAACATAGTTCTGGAAGTTCTAGCCACAGCAATCAGGCAAGCAAAAGAAATAAAAGGCATCCAAATTGGTAAGGAGGAAGTAAAATCATCATTATATGCAGGTGACATGATACTATACATAGAAAACCCCAAAGGCTCCACCAAACAACTACTGGACCTGATAAATGAATTCAGCAAGGTAGCATTTCAGCATTAGAAAGAAGGAAAAATTCCCTTTTCAGATGATACAATTTTTTCAAGAAAGTAAACAAAGTATTTTAGAATTATTAGAGTTCCTTAAGATGGTTTTCCATTAAGTGTGAAAAAACAAATAGCTTCCCAAAGTAACATCAATAGCCAGTTAGCTTATTTAATTTTAACAGTAATCATAAAAGTTAACTGAAAAACTTTATTAAAAAGCTATAAAACTTTACTGAGAAATATAAATTAAAACCTATTCTTAAATTGAGAAAAAAATATTGTGGTGTCAATGATCTGTAAATCAACTTATAAACTAAATAAAAATGCCAATCAAAACATGAAGGGAATTTATTTGGAAAGCAGCGGTAGATCACCTTGACAAAAAAATAAGACACCCAGAAAAATTACTTTTAAAAAAAGTTATGGTAGAGCACTTTCTCTAGTTAACATTTAAATGTATAAAACCACAATAATGAAAACTGTATGACAGAGGTCCTAGAACAGAAATGAGAATTTTTTGAAAGGAATTCTTCAATACATAGTACTGAGACAAGAGTCAACTATTTAATGTACAATGGGGGCTTAGAAGCAAGAGTACAAGATCTACAATGAATAAAGAGTAGTCTCATCTTTAGTCTTTTACTCTGTAAGCAATCACCCCTCATTTTCCAGTACTTGGACTGCAAAAACCCCTGACTGTAGGATCAAACGTCTGTAGCATAAAGCTAGAATTCTAAAATCAAAATATTATAGGTAGAAAGTAAAAGTTGAGGCAGGTACCCGTGAACTCCCTGAGCACCGGGATGTTATTTATCTGTTTTAATTTTCTGAGATCCAGCCCTTCAACACTAACTTACCCTCATCCCACTCCCTCAATAAATGTAGACTCCTCCGTGCCAGCACATTAAGAGAGAGAAAGAAAATAAACCCTTCAGTAAATGTTTGATAAATGAAAGAAAGAGTTACCAAGATGAGACAAATCAGGGAGATGGACTGTGGCACTCTAAGTTAAAATCTGAATGCTCTTTTCCATGGCAACACCATTACCCACTGACCTGGGACCTTTTCATCACATATACTGTCTCTGTGGAGAGTGTGAGCATCTTACATTCTAGGCAGTTTTTAGAATACTGATTACTTGATGAATCACAACTTCCCTCCCAAGTTCTTCTAGCTACCAGTACAGTTCTTTTAACAAGCATCCTCCAAATTCTATAAGCTAGCTTAAATAACTGTGATAAACACACACAGATGAACCATTGGGTAGAAATGGTGAGAAATAAGAATGAAAGCAAAAAAAAAAAACCTGAGGTAATGGACAAAGGTGGGTAAAGACATTTTCTATTTCTATTTATTGTAAAGATTAATAATTCTCTTAAGCACATAGCTGATTTAAGCACATAGGTATCCTTAACAGAGAGAGCTGTTTTTAGGTAAGTACTAGCAAGAGAGAACCAAAAAGAACCCAAAATATTTTTCAAAGTTTAGTTCTACAAATTACAAGCTGTTTATCTCAGAGGGGAAACGATGAAAAGAAAACAGATACTGATTTTACATTATACTTATATCAATAATGTGAGACTGAATCCCCTACCTCTCTTCCCAGCTGTCAT